GCTGCTGGTTCCCAAAGCACTTGCTAATGTTTGCCTCTAGTATGTCTTGGTCCTTCTGGCTGTTGCTCAGGCCCCGACTGCCTGGCGCCTGGTCCTGCATCACCTTCTCAGTTTCCTCTAGGGACCTCTGAGTGCTGCTGCTCCTCCTGTCCCAGCGCAGCTTTGCGAATCTGCAGCCACCTTCCCTCTCACCAGCAAGAGGCAGCTGGTATCTCTGTGTGCCCCAGAGCACGGGAGGCAGAAAGCAATGGCTGCTGGCTCCCCATCGTAGATGCCCTCACCATCTCCAGCTCCGAGACCAGCTGATGATGTTCAAAGGGCAGCCCATCCCAAATACTCCCTCATTTGGCACCTCCCTTCATTAGTTAGCTGTTTACCATCCAGGGAAATGAAGCCGCAGATCTGAGAGCGATTGCACAGTGTTTGCTTTTGGCCAAGCAGGGCCAGACCCAGGCTGTGCAGTGGATTGCCAGCTAAGCAGAGAGCTGGTTTAAAGGTTAATCTCATCTCAAAAATAGAGGGAGGGAGATGCATTACAATGCTTCATTGGAAAAATGTCAAAAGCCATTAGCTGCTGGCTAAAATATATGAAAGGTGGCAGCATAACTCTGCTTTTCATTTTGTGTGGAGGTGAAATGAAGCATTTCACCATTTACCTTTGGGAATTAAGATACATGTTTTTAAGGTCAGTTCCTTTGTTATAGGGATTCCCTGTAGAAATAGGAGATAAAATGTTTTCCTTTGCATATAGTCTTTAACATACCGTATTGTCTATTCACTTACATATGGCATGAATGTTGATAAATAAATGTACACACATGCACATATATGCAGTGCATTAACCAGCCGTGTATTTAATAGGCACAATTTTCTTTGTCAGTGTGCTACATACATAATGTTCATGTTCAGGGAATAGCATGCCTGGAATAGTAATACCTGCCAACTAAAACAGGTCAGTCAGGCGTATTCATGCATTCCAACCTCCTGACCAGTTTCAACTACTGCTATTTTTAATATACCAGGGGATATTTCTTTCTTATCTTTCACCTTCCAAAAATACATTCCTTCAAAAACTGAAAGAGAAAGATTTCCCTTTTGGACCTGATGTGTTTTTCTAGAGCTAAAATTTGTCTGGGTTAAAAATCTCAACTAGCATAAACTTCTAGCAGACTGTCCTGGTTTAAAAATAAGTTTTATTTATTTGGAAAGAGAGAAGCTTTTCAAAAGAGACAGACGGGGCTTATATCTGGCTGTGAGAAGGATCTACAGACTGGATTTCTAAATCATGACACTTGTAAATATGTTTTATTTACAAAAATTTTTTCTACTTGAAGGCTCTGCTGCTCCTACTTGGGGTGACCTGCATATTGCAGAGCTCCATAAACTCATATTAAAATATCCTGAGCCTGTATTTTATCAGAGGCCATTGTCCATAAACAGTGTGTGCATGAGTAGCTCCCCGTGTGCGTATCCCTTCCCTGATGTGCTTTGTGACCTGAGTTTTTTGCTCTGGATGCCATCCTTCCTGCACATCCCTGTCTCTCACCTCTGTGGTAGGAGGCAGCATGGTGGGAGCAGCTTGTTCCAGCTTCCCTGTGGTCTCACCTGTCACCATAGACCAGCTTGCTTCTCCCTTCCCTTTGGGGGGGTCTTCTACCTTCAATGTGCAGATGGAGTGGTCCTTTTTCTCAGCCTGGTTTTGCAGGCTTCCTGCATGTTTCCAACAGAAAGGAGGAAAGAGCTTTCTGCAGTCATCCCCACTGGCTCAGCTCACCATAGGGATGTGCTTTGGCTTGGGCACGGGTGTATGTCGACATCTCTGTCAAGTTAGACTGTGTGACGCAGAGTTCACGCTGCCTTTGTGCCAACTGCGGGGAGCAGACAACAGCCGATGCAGTGGAAGTGCCAGCTGGCCCCCACAGACACCACGTGTGAACACAGCATTTTAAATCTGATTCTGGGATCTCTTTGTCTGCCACTAAACTCTGGCCTAAAACGTCTGTGATTTCTTAAGCAAGGCCATCCGGTCTAGCTCAGCTAAGCCTCGTTAAGCAAGCAAGGTATTTTATAAGCAATCTATCTTGAGGAACAGTAATAACCCATACATTTTAGTAACATGGCAGGCGTTGGAGCATTTCCAACAGCTTACAGAGACTAAATATGACAAATAAACGTCACGAGTGATGAAGCCAGAGAGCAGCATGCCTGAGCTGAGGGATGCTGTCTGTGCCCTGTCAGGACGAGGGGCTGGGCAGGGTTCCCAGGCTCCAGTTCAGTGCAACATTTCAGTGTATAAACTTACACTTTTTGGTATAAAGTGTTTTCCCTGCCAAAGCAAATGGGACAGTTTGTAGGTTTAAATATCCTCGTGTGTATATAAGTGTTCCTACTTCTACAGAATGATGAGTAATTCTGGATAATCTGTATCCAGGGTGGTCCTTTACTGAAGGTAGTCATTGGTAAGCCAAAGCTCTGAGAGCAAGGGTGTATACTGATCTGCCTATTTATATATATATATAATTTGGCATTTAAAAGAGGACACAACCAGCTATAAAGTACAGAGGAAGAACAGAAATCATACCAGAGGATTTTACCATTGAAGGGTATGTACTGTGTGAACATGCTGAAAGATTTCCACCTTAATACAGAGCATGAAACACAGCTAGTGAAATAATCACTGACAATTAGCAAGTCAGCAAAAGGAAAATGTATTGTAGGTAGTATTGCCATTTATAATTATCTGTTGCAATCATTAATGATCTCTTTAGAAGGATTTCTGTTGTAAATCCCTCAAGAGAGTGGTACCAAAGAGTTCAGTGTTGGCAGCCCACTTACTTTCCTCTTTTGAGAGCAGAATTATGTAAAATCAACAGCATCTGCTTGCTGCTTTATTCTTTCTGTGAAAGTGTAGTTTCCTTTGATTCAGAAATCTATTTTTTTATGTTTGTGTGTGTATATGTATATATAATTTGTTAGTCTTTGAGTTTCTTGGCTTTGTCTGTTGGGCTGCCTCTTGTGCTCTGCAGCTGGTCATGCCATCAGTCTGTCCTCGGGCACGGTGTCCCTTGTGTGGTGTCATCTTTCTTTTCTCATTGACCTACATGATAACAAAGCAAGTCACAGTGTTTACAGTTGATATATTTTAATCTTGGATTGAGTGGTTCACATTTTTCCTCAGCTTTTAGGGTGACTGATAATGTAATCGCCTTCAGACCAAAGTCCCAGCAGCCACCCAGGGTTGTTTCGGTAGCAAGGTTGAGTTGGTTAAAGTGAATATGTACAAATCTGTTAAAATTAAAACTGTCCTCATTACTGAGAGGGAAAATCCAGGAGCTGAGTGGTCTCCACAGGTAGAGATCGTGGCTTTTTGCTTTGGCAGGGCACAAACGCAAAACCCATTTCATTCCCCTGAGGCCGCAGCAACGAGGCCGCGGCTGGGCCCATC